TAACATAAGACTAATATTTTTAGAAACATGTTTTGATGGTTGATTACTAATATCATTTTGCGGCATGAATAAGGGCACAAGTTTGATTGCAGGTTAGTGACAGATGGTGGTATTTCAAGGGTGCAAGTTGTTTATGATACAGATTCTTTCCGATACAATTTTTCTTATGTTCCGTTTGGTAAGAAGAATGAAAAGTAGGAAGGATAAAAAGTAGGAGGAATACACTTTCTATCTTTCAAAGATGGAAAGTAGGGATAATATATTTTCCTTCTTTTCTGTTTGGTTGGATGGATGGAAATATAAAAATAATTAATTTTTTTTTTTTTTTGTAATGACTAAGATTAGGGTTGACAATTGAGTCGACACGTGTCGTGTCAAATTCGTGTTGAGTCATAAAATTATAAGCTTTTATATTTCTTTTTCTCATGGCAGGTCATTTTTAAGTTCGTGTCGAGTTATAATCAACTTCGTGTCATAAAATTTGTGTCGAGTTCGAGTCGTGTCATCGTATTGAGTCGAAAATTTTCATCACTAGTTAAAATAAAAAAAAATATTTTTTTTTAATTTAAATTTTTTATTTTTTTATTTAAAAATATATATATATAAAATACATTTTAACACAAATAATTAATTTTTTATTTATTTTTCTTCCGATTTTAGAGGGATTGATTTTGGTGAGTTGAAAGAAAAGTTAATCCATACATTTTTTTCATTTTTTTTCCTTACCAAATTTGATATTTTATTTATCCTTCAAATTTTACATCCTTCTATTTTTCTATCGTACTAAACGGAGTATAAATGTTCTAATGGTAGATCAGCTGTTACATTTCACCATATAGAAGTGGATTTGGTTGAATGTTAAAGGAGGGAATGTTGGGTAAAATTTTGGATGGTAGTCTTCTGTTGTTTTTTTGGCTATTTGAGTCTTTTTATCTTTTATACCTTGCGTAGTAGCTAAGAGCTATTTAAAACAGAACTCCTGAAAAAGCTTATCAGCTATGCAGGTAACATGGGTTTCAATGTTATTAACCTCTTTTATAATCTTAACATGGATGTAGATATTCTAAAATACACTTGTTTTTAATAATAAATCATTCCTCACGTATTATTGAAAGACCCATTTATACGTAGTAATGACAGTTTGTAGTTGACTCATAAATAATAATTTTTCATGAAAGGAATTAAGAAAAATATAATATAAAAATGTATTATTTTCTAAGGGATGGCCTAAAATAGAATTTTATAATATTTTTGGAGGTGCAGGGAATCGAACCCCGTGCCTCTCGCATGCAAAGCGAGCGCTCTACCATATGAGCTACACCCCCTCTTTTGTATGCTTCATTGCGTAATAAATAAATCTTAATATTGTCAATTGATTCTTAATGAAATCCCTACTTCAAACCTTATTTCTTTGTAAAGAATTTTGGGAAGAAAAATGTTATCTTTCTTAAATTTTTTTACCAAAATTTTCATTCTAAATGATGTGGTAGATTATTAATATAACTTAATTATTTGATAGTGAAAAATTGTGTCACATCATTTGAGATGAAGATTTGGTAAAAAAATTGGTAAATATAACATTATTCATCAGTAAAATCAATGGAAGAGATAATTATTTGAATAATGATTTGGTCACCACTTTTCTTACTTCACCTGATATGGCACAATCAAAATCATTAGATATTTAATAATTGGGAAAATTTTAGTCATCCCCCTTCTTATTTACCATATCTTAAAGGACACCATTTTTATTATCCAAAGCATCACTAATTAAAATTTTCTCAAAATTTGATTTTAACTGATTAAATTTTATTTTTTTCACGTATTAAAATTCGAGCCTATTAAGCTCTACTTAAGCTATTAGCTCCGATTAAAATTCGCTCAAATCGATTAAAATTTATATTTTTTTATTAATATTCAATTCAAGTTGATTAAAATTTATTTTTTACGTATTAAAATTTTAGTCAATTAAAAATTATATTTTTTTATGTATCAAAATTTAAGCTGATTAAAATTTAATATGAGTTAATTAAAATTTGATTTGAGCCTCGAATAAAATTTTAATCGACTCAAATTTTTATACGTAAAAAAATATAATTTTTAATCTATTCAAATTTTTATTAACTTGAATCGAATTTTAATCGATCCAAATTTTAATTGGCCTGAATTTTAATATATAAAAAAATTTAGGTGGTTTCATTAAAGATATATCCATCTAGAGGTGGTGTGGATAAAATTTTTCTTAAAATATATCATGGATAATTTAATAAAATTACATTTTAATAGAGTGTTAGTGAAAATTAAAAAAATAGATGAGATGTCCTTGATGTGGTTGAAATTTTTCCTTAATAATTTAATAGTCTAAGTTGAGGTGGAGCACAAATGTGATAAATATAGTGTATTTTCTTAGTAGTACCTTCTGACAATTAAAATCCATCAAAGTTTTAATTTCCTCGTAAATATTGGGCGTAATCGTTATATCATGTCAACAATACTAATATAGTATAATCATCTAAAAAAAATAACAAAAATGATAAAATAAGGTCTATTTTTTATTATGGAGGTAGTTATATAATACATGACTAATTGATTATGAGTTTTAGTGGGACTCATTTATTAATTTATTTACTTATTAATAAACTGTCACACCACGTCCATACTTTATCTTGGGCAAGAAGATATTAATTTTGGAATGTCACGATATCACTTTTAGAATGTCACGTCACGTTACGTTTAAGAGAGAATCTATAATAGCAAAACAATAGTGGGACCTTAACTTCGACCTCAACATATGTGCAATGAATTTTTCTACAAATAATTGTGTGATGCTAAAAGACAATACTTATCTAATATTTTTTTTCTCAACAGGTCTAGTATGACTTTTTTATCACATAGGCAAACTCAAAGTTATTTAGCCGTTCTCGCTAACCGCACATACTATTCATTGTATTTAATCCCCATATTCAATTGATTAGGCACTTTCTTCGGTTGAAACGAGAGATAATGGTAGTCACCCTCCTCCACTTCTTGGAACTTATGAACAATCCAAGCACTTATTAAGCCCAAAATTTTTCCCCAACAACTTTAACTCCCGTTGAAACATTCTGTCGGAGATTATGGTGTCATTTTAAAACTAAAAGTAGTATTCATTTTATTTTATTTTTTTGAGTAACAGTAGTATTCATTCAAAATAAAATAAATAGCTTACATAAATTATATGAAGTATACTATTGCTATTCTCCAAAATTAGGAGAGCACGTCACACACAAATAAAATAAAATAAAAGCATTGTCTCCTCCCATTTAAAGAATCAAAATAAATGTGCATCTCCTAACAATAGTAATTTCTACGCATTAGTCATTGTCAAGTCTTCATCTATATAACCAATTAGATAAAACAAAATTAATCACTAAATAACACAAAAATTAAAGATAATATGTGAATTAAATCATATATTATGCATTTGTTTTTTAATTTATCAAAAATCCTACATAGGTGGTGTCACATAATTTTTCTTTGTTTAATAATATAGAAACCTGAGATATATTAAATATTACATATGTTTTATGTCATACACGTTAGTAAATATATAGACCATCTTGGCTAAGATCTGCACATCTATTTTTCTCCCCCTCATCTTCTTTTGCTCGAGACAATTAACCAAAATTACTCAAGTAATCCAAGAATATACTACTCTTGAAATTTAAAAAAATTTAAAATTACAAAACAATAAAATTTAGTTTATTGTCATAACTCACTAAATTAAGATACAAACGATTCTCCCATCTACATAATAAAATAACTTATAATTCAAATTTCAAAAAATAAATAAAATGACTTTTACTATTCATGATTAAAATCGCTTTAAATTCTATTTTAAAAATAATCTAACAACTAATATTAATACCTTAAATTTAATATAAATAATATGACCATAAGAGTGTTTAAAGTGACTTTTTAAAATTATTTCTCATAAATACTTTAAAAAAAAATAATGTTTGAAACCACCTCATCACTACTTTTACCACCACCGTCGCTGCTGCTGCTGCCATCACCGTCGTCGTCGTCGCTATTGTCACCACCACCGCCACTGCCACAGCCACAGCCACAGCCATCACCACCACCACCACCACGCCACCGCCACCGCCACCACCACAGCCATCACCACCCACCGTCACCATCACCCCCCGCCACCGCCACCTTTACTGCTCTTGCCGCCACCACGATCATTGTCACCAACCACAACCATTATTGTCTCCTACCACCACTACCACTACCACTACCACTACCACTACCACTACCACTACCACTACCACTACACTGACACTCACCATCTCTCACTCTACTACAAATCAATATTTAAATTATTTTATCTCTTCTCTGTATTTGTGATTTAATTTTGGATATAAATACAAATATATTTTTTATTTTTTATTTTTTATTATTATGTGTCTTCAAGCACGGACAACACCTAGTCATCTACTAAAACAACAGAGAAAATCAATATATTAACATTTCATAACTTCACATACGTAATAGAGAGGATTTATTTTAATTCCAAGGCTGAGTCCTGTGTTTACTAAGATTGATGCTTGAATATAGTGCTACAAGTCTGAATGAATTGCGGACCATGATTCAAGGTGTCGTATTGGCAATCCCTTCAAATCATGGTTGTGCCATCTTTTCAGCTGGGCCACTTAATAAACGAAGAACACTTCCAAAACATTTCAATCATCTTAAAGTTAATGCAATCTTGATCCACTTCCAACGCAAGAGTTACAAATCCATCAATGCAATCACAAGGAGGGATTCAACCAAAATTGGACATAAATAGAACATAAACTGGTCCACAATAAACCAAAACAAAACTACTACTTCCACCAGTAGATCATATAGAAAAACAGATAATCTGGAAAATTTAAGACCAAACAACTACTGATACCAGTAAAAGTAATCAAAGTTTTAGCAAATAAGAGAAACAAATGATATTGAAGGAGCACCTAATCAAACAGACTGAATCCCATATCGTCATCACTCTCTTCCTTGGGTTCTTCCTGTTAAAATTCATCAAAAATAAAGCCACAGTTAATCATCAACATTTCCATTTCCTTCAATAAATCAAAAGAACAAAAAAAATGAAATCTGTTTTCTTTTACCTTCTTTTCCTCAGGAGGAGAGGCGCCCGCGGCAGCAGCAGCGGCTCCACCGGCTGGACCACCAACAGCTACCGGAGCAGCACCGCCACCGCCACCGCCACCAGCCCCGACATTCAACACAAGGTCTTCTATGCTCCTCTTCTCGGCTAGCTTGGCGAACAAGCCTGGCCAGTAAGATTCAACGCTCACGTTCGCTGCTAAAAGTAATTTAGCAATCTTCTCCCCCTGGTATTTAACAAAAAAAATTATAATCTAAAACTACAATTGAATAATAAATCAACAAAAAATAAATCTCACTTTATATTACTACACTAAATCAATGATTGTACAATCTTCTCCTCATGTTATCTATGCAAATTAATTTAAATATCTATGAATGCAATAAAATCAAAGATGTAGAAAAGGAGAAAACAATACATAAAGAAACATATGTATATATATGAATGCAATAAAATCAAAGATGTATACGAGGAGAGAGAAATATGCGCACGGTGATGGGAATGCCATCGTCGCTGAGGATCAAAGTAGCATAAGTGCAAGCGAGTTCAGGAATCGACATCTTCTACTTCAATCTTTTTCTCTGTGGAATAAATGATATCTGAAAGATTTAACAGATGATTATTGTGAAAATAACAGATCAAATCGGTAAAATAGAGATAACTATTAAGAAGCAGCAAATACTTGAAGAATTATCTATCAGAGAGAGAGAGGCAGAGAGAATTGAAGGAATTTTACCTAAGGAGAAAGAGATGTGACACTGGTGCGGCGCTGCTTCTTCTAACTAGGGTTTCGGTTTGGGGGAGATGTAGCTGTATATATAGAGAGAGAAGAGAGGAGAGAAGGCTTTAGGTTTTTGAATGGGTTTCGGCTGGGCTGGAGAATATAACCTTTGGGGGCCCATATTGCGAAGGAGGTCTATATGTGAAGAGTGGCCCAGATCTTAATTGTCTAGGTAAATGTGGGCTGAGTCCAACAGTTGCACCCCCCAACCTGCCAAACTGAGATTAAGACTATTTATGTTATATCTAAATCTAAATCTTTGAAACGTTATATAATTTATTCGGATTCAGATAGTCGGTTAAAAATATCAATTCATGCTAGCTAATAGAATTTTATAGTTGGATCAGATTTAGGTCAAAATCGGATATATTAACAAATCCCAATAAATACTGGGACCCACAGTGAAATCAATAGTTATAATTATCAAGTCTACTTTTTAAGTCTATGTAACATTACTCTATGTAAAAGTATCTCCAATAATAATCTCTATTTTATAGAACATCTTTTTCTCAACTCGACTAGAACTCTATATTCTAATGTCAAAATAACCTCTAGAGTCAAAGCATTTAATGAAACATTTATATGTGTAATATTTTCATTTATTAATTATAAAAGCAAAAAGTGAGTTTAATTCTAAAAATACGGAAAGTCAAATTAAACTCTCTATTTTAATTAGATTAAATAAAAAGTCTATTAAAGATAGATTTTTAGTGGTTTAACTATCTGAAATAGAGAGCAGAGTGAGAATAGAAAACTAATGAAAGATGCTCTAAAAGAATTACATTTAATTTTTAGAATATTAAACTATTCTTGAATTTTTGATACATTTTCCGATGAGAGAAAACATTTTGAAAGTTATAAATCTTTTAAAATTTGAAATTTAACCCAAATATTTTTTGAGCTGCACATGGGGGGCAACTTCCCTATTTCCCCACCCTTCCTCCACTCATGGTCGTACATGAATAACTTAATTTTTCAACGATTGTCCTATTTTACTAATATTGTACGAAGGCATAATCCCTTGCACAACCTCTAGAGGTAGAATAAAGGGGAGGCCTAGAAAAGTAGTCCATAATACATGTTATGGAAGGAGATTAATGAAACAACCTCACCCTTGCTTAACTCTTGTTTCCGTAAATTGAATATTAACATCTAAAAATATATTTTGCATTACCCAAATTGTTATACATTGATCTTTTGGTTATATTAAACTTTAGGTCTTTACGAGCCAAACATAAAATATATCAATGTAGGGTTGGACTTATATGAACTATAAATTAGAATGTCAGAGGTTCAACCATGATTAGTGGTGGGGCTCTAGGTGGCTTTACAGTCCCCAGACTGACACGTGGAAAGATGGAGTCGTTTTGATGTCCAAGAGGCGCCGAAGAAGTAAGTCGAGATATGGTATCTCAAATGAGCCGAGTACAACAGCTGACATCGCATTTAATACGATGTGACATCTCATTTATAGAGGAATGAGTAATGGTGATAAGGCTATTAATGAGCGTCTGCGAACGCCTGCATTCTGAGAGTCTAGGTCTACCATCATAATGGTTAGGCATTGATAGCTACTATGCCAAGTATATACAATCGACTCTCTCCAAAGAACTGTTTTCCCGAGTATTCAATGCTGAGTTGCGGGGGTGTCAGATGTCGATCTGAGGAATGTGGATACTTGGGAAAGGACATAAATGCTCGGCATAGAGTCGAACACTCGTCCTATCATCTTAGCATTAAATAGGAGAAACCTTGAGTGGAAAACACTTATTGCACGAGGAGTGACATGTCAAACATTAAATGTCCATATGAGACTGGAGGTCTTTGACAATCATTGCAAATTCAGGTATAAATACTCTTCAGAAAAATGAATAAATGTACGCAAAATTGAACCAAAAAATATTATTCATTGAGGTTGAACCTCGAATTTTGAGATTGACTTAAGCTTCAGAGAGGATAAGCCGGTGTTCACTTGACCCCCTTTTTTTTTGACTCTGTGATTGTTTCAAGTTCATCAGATTGGAGGTCGCTATCTCAAACGATTACAGAAATTATCCCGTGCAATTAGTGTTTCTCAGAGCTAACTGAAACTTATGATTTATAAGTGATTGTAGGTATCTAGCGCAATGATAAATCTAAAGTGACCTTAACTTTAAATTGTTTCTTATTATTTAAAAAAAACATAAAATATTTACCATATGGAAATGAATTACAAATGCATTTCTTTAATTACTAGACCACAAATTTTTGGTCACATATTGCTTTACTATATACAATGTAGAATGTTGAATGAATAAAGCAATGCAACAAATAAACTACCCAAAATACAAAAACAAATTATTATTATTTTTTTGACATGTTTTCGACCCACCCCTCAGGTCCTACTATCAGAACTTCAGGCATGGATTTTTTGTAATCCCGTAGGGGTGTTGTTCCCTTAAACGGTGTCATTTTATACTTGAAATGCCGACGTCTTATACGCAAAACAGCATCGTTTAGAAGAACAACACCCTCTTGCACAGGAATATAGCTGTACCCAGTACTTCTCAAAGTTGAGTCTTTTGCAAAAAAAAAAAACATCAATTTAGTTTAGGATTTAGGAAGCTCATAACTGGCCGGCTTCAAATTAGGTGCATGCTCGGACACCCTCCAAAACTTCACAGACTTGTCCAAACTCCCACTATACACAATCCACCGTTGATCAACATCCTTCTTCTCTTGATCATGATCCATCTTAACGGCCAGGCATTTCACTGGCCCACTATGACCAGTCAGCACAGACACGCACGTGTGGACCCCAGCCTCCTTTCTCCTCCAAACACATATACTCTTGTCCGCCGACCCACTGAACACCAACCCACCACCCACCGCTAAGCACAACACCGCCAACTTGTGACCCTTAAGCACACCGCCGTGAGCCATAAAATGCTTCTCCCTCTCCCAAAAAGTCACCAACCCGTCTGATGATCCGCCGTACACCACCTCCGCAGCCGCGTTCACAGCCAGCGCCGTCACCGCGTTTTCTTGATTCAACAATGTCTGTACAAGAACATGTTTTACCGTCTTCCCCACCAATTCTCTCCTCCAAACCTTCACTGTCCCATCTGCTGAGCCTGTGAAAATCAACCCATCAAAGCCTACGGCCACTGAATTTACAGCATCGTCATGGGCGTTAATGGAGTCTAAGCACTTATAATCAGAGAGTCTCCAAACTTTTAGGGTTTTATCCCAAGAACCCGAATAAAGAAACCCATTTTCTTCATCCAAACTCATGCATGAAACTGCATCGAAGTGTTTAATCCATAGAACGTTACGGTGTCTTCTAACTTCTACATAGTTCTTCGGATTCATAGAGCTCTTCAGATAATCTCTGGTCGTGGGTAAATTGCCAACCCGTTTGTAAACTGTCCGTTTATTCTTCGCCGGAAGTTTCCAAATTCGAATTTTTCCGTCCTGATGGCCGGTGAAAATTTTGTCGCCGGAAGTGACGATGGCTTTGACTAATCCACTTCTGGATTTAAACCCGGAAAAATCCTTCAAGTTCTTCCACACCCTTATGTTCTTGCTGTCTGATCCTGTGTATAAAAAGTCACCGGAAGTGGCTAATGAATATATATGACCCTCTTCACGAACAAGCGAACCAATAAGACCGTTTGGTACCAAGTTATCATCATTATACGAATACGAGTCCATCGAAGAGGCTTGTGTCCATGGAGATTTTACATAAGGCGAGTGGCTGTTGTTCCATGGTGACATGAAATATGGAGAAGGAGAAGCATTGGCGCTATTGGGATTAGACATATCGGAGAACGGAGGGCTAGGATCGGAGACGGAAGCGGAACTGTCACGGCGAGAGTAGGTGTTTTCGTCTCGAACAATTGAAAGGTTAGGATCGGAGGACAAGAGGGTACCGAATTTTGGCCGGCGGAGACTTGTTTTCGCCGGGAATACCGTAGAACCTCTCTCGTTCGTCATTGTAGATGGTATAAGAATAGGAAGAAAAATTGAGCCTTTGATGGTTTTTAGAGTATGAATGAGTAATTTTGGGGGAAGGGGAGAGAGAAGACAAATGTTTTGTGGAGCATCTACGAAAGGTTGGGAAGGGGATGGTGCAGTATATATAACGGCTAGAGCTACGCCGTCCAATAGTGCTGCCTATTACGTGTACGTGGAAACTACAGAGTAACACCCTTAAGGTTGTAAAATAATAGTTAGGCCCCAATAGTTTTTAGAGCAATGTTTTAGAGACTTAATTCAATGCAAATATTGAATTATTTGTAAGTTCTAATGTTATATAAAATCTATATTTAATTCAACAACTTTGAAATTAACAACAATAAATCTAAACTTTATCATAGTATGATTTTATTAGAAAATAATTTTGTTTGTTTTTGAGCTATAGAGGAAATCACGACTAACTGGGTTCCTTCATAAAACAATCAAATTAACAAACTAATTCACACCTAAATTTTCAAGGCCAATAGTACATTGATTCCCCACTCCAAGAGTATGCTTAGGAGAGGGGAACATAATTTTGGTACATAAGAATAACAAGAATGTGGTCTAGAATTGCTACCAGTAGTATTATGCAACTCAAGACTAATTAATCTCAAAATGGAGGATTAAAAAAAGGTAAGATAAATTCTAAAAATAGAAATTCAAAAACTTAAAATCCAATCGAAAAGGTTTTCTATAAACTAGGACATTGTTGTTGAAATATCATTTTATTAGGGAGAAAGATATAATATTACCTAAGTTTAGTAGGGGTGTTATGTAATTTACTTGGTATTTACTACAGGCTCGTATATGAATGCGTCGTCACAGGGCGTGGGGCTAGTAGGTAGGCGAAAGGTGAGCGAGAAGGACACGTGTTGGGATGTTACGTGAGGGTTACATTTTTGGTTGCTCCGGTAAGGGCGTGGAGGGGGCGACCACGTGTCATGTGGAATGGGGCTTACTAATTAGGATAAGGTCTGAATTTTCACTTTTTGACATGTTTTTCATTTTTGGGGATGAGAGGGGTGATGACCTATGACTTGTCTCATGAACAATTCTAGCGTGGTTCAATTTTTTTTTTTTTTTTTTAGCTATAAGGTGATTAGGGTTGGGTCGACAGTTTAATAGTTTAGTAATTATGATTTAAATTGGGTTAAAGTATGACACAAAGAGACAAATTATTAAAGAATGTGAAAATAAATTGAATTTGAGACATTTAAATTATCAAAGACCAATTTCAATCACTAAACCAAAAAAATTTCTAGTGTGATTCTATATTTTCGGTGCAAACTTATCTTGATGTATCCTTTTGAACTTGACATCAATTAGACAAACCACTTTACAACTAATAGCCTTAGACATATACTATCGCTTAGGTGGTTCAGTAGGGTATCGATCGTATTTTTTACCATAAAGTTAAAAGTTTGAGTCATAGAGTCTACATTGAAGTTCAATAGTTGACTGTTATGTTAATTTATTTAAGTTTATTTCCAAGAGAAGTAACGAGCGCAGTCAGGAATCTCATGATTCCACTAGTGAAGGTTTATCGAAATAATCTCTAAGCGTTTTTTCAAACCAAAAAAAAAATCCTTAAGACACATTGTTTTAATTTTTAAAAAAAAACATAAATGATCGACCTTCAATAATGTCATTGTGTCATAACTTTGACATACTCGAGTCATTATCTCATCTTATTAAACTTATAACTTTTATTACAACACTAATATATTACTTTTGAATATCGTAATTTTTTTTTATAATGAAGAATTTTTTTGAGTTGTGTAATTTGAAAAAATATTGCATGATCACTAAATAGTACATGACAGTGTTTTGCGGTGTATGTTCTCAATCAAATTCTGTTATTTGCGAAGCTTTCATTTAAAAAAAAAAAAAATTAACTTACGAATCTGATAAACAGGTGTTATAACAATTTTTTATTAAATATATGTATCACATAGTACTGTCATCTAATGTCTTATACGAGCCGAGAATTTTCTCGAATAATTCAGAGCTAGAATGCATAAAAAATGTGAAGAAGAAAAACAAAAGTTGAATGGCACAAGTTGGGATGGACCGAACCTTAGTCAGGCAAAATACATTTACTTTGGTTTTTCAAGGTTTGTGAAACTATACATGGAACCACACAGCAGCGTGACGCCTCAAAACAACTGCTTTTTTTTTTGTTTCACATTTCACGAGCCAAAATGTCAACGGTCATAATTATCAGCCACCTACAAATGGAAACGCTGGTGAAAATGGAAAACGTCAACGGTCATTGGTTGTGTAACATTTTCATATTTGAAAAACTTTATTTTGGGCAAGTTGTTGACTTTAAGAATCGTCTTACAGAGCAACCACGTATAAGTGTTTAGTGATTATTTAATTTAAATCAATGTTACCAGAGTTAAATTGGTCATCGAGCCGACAAAAGGATTGGGTCAATGGTTCATTAGTTCAATCGTTGTGTCAATTGATTAGACTGGTTATATAATAAAAAAATATATATAATAATTATAATTATAATTATAAAACATAATAATACTGAATATTTTGAATGAAATAAAGTAGTATTATTAATTCCCAATCCCACAATCTCCATTCACAAAATTTCACAATTATCTGAAAATGAGAGTCGTTTCTACACAGATATTGATTCAAATTTTGAAAAAACAGGGGGGAATGTTAATGGGTTTGGAAAGGCCATTAAAGAAGTTAATGAAATGGGCTGTAGCAGTGGATTAGTTTCTGGAAGTGGTCCTGTGGGCTTTCCAAAAGAACTTGGGCTTTCTATCTCAAAACTCAACAAAGCCCAGGTGACTTTGAATACCATTAATTTGTGTACTTATTTGGGTATTCAAAGCCCAATGAGGGTGGGCCATTTTAAGGCTAAACAACAGTGTTATTAGAATCGGATCGGTTCAACCGTGAATCGGGATCTTAACCGGTCCGGTTCCGTAATTGAACCGTTTAAGGAAGAGAACCAGCTAAAAAACCAGAAAATTGGCAGGTTCTTGTAAAAAATCATGAACCGGTGAATTTTATAAAATCGGACGATTTAATGCCAAATTAAAAATTAACGGGTACATGGACTATCTAAGCCTTCCCAACCCTTGTAAATATCTTTTCCCCTCACAAATCTCTTCAAACCATGGATTATCGCCTCCTTCTTCTCCTCATTCATGGCAAGAGTCCCAAACGTTGATGGATGATCAAAATTGATTGAACCCCAAATTGTTCTAATACCAACCAGATCATCATTAGATAGATTCATAGCATAGAGCTTCATCACCTTGTCATTATCCTTTATCCTTTGGTACTCTTCCAGAATATGGGGTAAATACTCGTTCAACACTTTTTCTTTGAACTTCTTGCGAAAAATGAGCTCAAAAAAGTTTTCTCTGGAATACTGATCGGGTTTGGAGACTGAATACAGGCGAATCTCCATTTTAGTTGAACATTCTGGAAAGTATCGGGGATCTCTTTGTTTTTCTCGATGTTGGTGTTGAGTTTTTTGCAACTTATGTGTATTTATCATTTGGATGATGTATTCTTACGTAAACTTTTAACTTTGATAGAGATTGTGGTCTAGGGTTTGGACTTGGGAGTGATTTTTTGGTTATAGACTTGGATTAGAGCTTTAAAATTCAACTTTGATGTCTAAAATTGTATGTATTTTAAACATATTTTTCTTTTTAGTTAAATTATTATGTTTTTTAATTATTATATATATTTTTTTATTATATGATCGGTATGACCAGTTGGCTCACTAATTGAACCAATAAACCATTAACCTAGTTTTTTAACCGGTTCGATGACTGGTTTGATTGTGATAACATTGACTAAACAGCCTAAGCATTTTAATTTCAAGGATGTCCCGATTCAAACCCACGCCATGTCTAGGGCTAATTTGGGTAGCCTGACAACGGAGATGGTGGTCCTCCAGTTGACGAAGACAACGAAGATCAGGAGATACAGTGTCGGGATGAGCCATTCGAAGAGGCTGCTTTAGAAGATGGAAACCACTATCATAGCGAAGACAAGAAAGACTTTGATGCACCTGTTGAGTTCGAACCGCGCTTGCGACTGCCCGTTGGATCTAATGGCTTTGATGATGTTAACACAACCTGTTTGTGTTTCCGATGGGAGTGTTCAAAGACTTGAACGCTCAACTGACAACTCACGAAGTGAAGATTATGAACGCGCTTGAAATTTCAATCGACGGGTTTGCCAAACCGTCCAATTCACAGATTTGATCCAAAATCAGCCGGAGGTTTTCAAGCGTTTGCTTCTTTATATGGTCTAATTAGAGAATCAGACCATTTTAGGTACCGATTCAAGGTCCAACCGGTTGAACCGACTGATCTGATCCGATTTTAATAATATTGCTTTAAATGGTTGCCAAAACTTTAATATGTAAGGTAATTACATTCACATCCCATAAATTTTGGTCAACTAACAACCAAACCCCTCTTATTTGGAAATAACACTGCACTCCCCTTGTTAGTAATGTTCGTCCCATTTTAATGACATAATTGTTAAATGACTATAATAGCCTTTAGTCCCTTTTTTTTTTTAATTTTATTTTTTGTTAAAATTCATTTTCTCCATTCATTTTATCATAGTTATCAGAAACAGACCAGACATCGAACCGACAGAAAAGACCAGTTCAGTGGTTCAATGGTTCAACATTTAGTTAACTGTTCGAATCGATTGTATATTAAAAAATTATAAAACATAATAATTGATCTAAAAAATATATGAAATATCCATTCTAATTTATTCATTCTATTTTCTACCTAACATGAGTAATTTATCAAATTGACTCTTAAATTATAATCACTGTGTCAATTATCACTAATTCATACGTGCCACCTGGGTTAGTGAATGAGAATTAAAGGTAATTCATTGTTTCCCAACCACCACCATTCTTTATGTCCCGACCTCGTCCCCAAATTAACACAAGGAGACTAAAACTTATTTACAAAGAACCCATTTACTCGAATCCTACCCATTTACAAAGAA